TTTGAGCATGAGATTGCATACGTGGAATTTTGCAATGATGATATGAGAGCTAGTTTGGATTTATTGTGCTAGTTTAAATGGCTTGAGTTGATTTTATTTGGTTAAATTCTTGAGATGTTTTATTTTGGGAACAAAGGCATGAAGGTTGATATTTTTGTGACTTATTGTGGTGAGTTGGTTTTGAGACGATTTGTATTGTTGAGATGTGCTTGTGATTGCTTTAATCAANTAGTGCAATTATATATCAACACGATGCACTTTATAAAACAATAAGTTGCACATTATAAAACAACACGTTGCACTTTATCACTACACTCTACAATTGAAATAATGTAAAATAATAAAATAATATTAATATTTTTATAGTAATAAGTAAATTATATAATAAAAATAATAAATACAAAGTTATTTTAATGATTTAAGTTAATTCATTGTACAATTATATCGATTAAATAGTTTCTGAATACACATAATTTATATGTGAGGGTATAAATTGATGCACGTTGTATAGTGAAATATTGCACTTTATAATACAACACGTCGCACGTTATAATACGTCAAGTTGCACTTTACATACACACTCCACAATTAATGTCACGTCTAAAATAAATCAGATCTACATGGTTGCACTTTATATATCAATATGTTGCACTTTATACAGAAATATGTTGCACTTTATAACACGACATTTTCACCTTATAAAACAACACGATACACTTACCAAAAAATCCGGTAATTCTGCTAATCGATCAAATAATTAGTTGGTTAAATGTCAGATTTAGTCGTTTAAAATAAATAAAACAACTACACATGTCAAACTATGTGAAAATATTACCACTTATTTTCAATATATGTATATTTTTTTAAATAAGAAATCAATAATATTTTTATATAATTTTTTATGTATTGCAAGTGCACATTATGATTATACTACTTGCACGTAAAAGTCTGCCATATTGCACAAAATCAAACGAGATCCGACAAACATAAATTCAGTACGAAAATTTATATATTGTTTCGATCATCATTAGTATTCTTTTATAAATCCAGTATTTTGGTACGATATAATTTTCTATTTAAATAACTAAAAAAAACAAATTATTAAAATATTATTTTTTATATTTTGTATAAAAATACTAAGGTATGATTTTCTATTGAAGTATAAAAAAATTCATATAATGCATTTTATGTATTATGTGTATGTATTACAATTTTATTATATTATCAATTTGGCTAGTTGTACTCAATTAAAAATGTAAAACATTTCCGTAATTGCAATTAGATCCTAATAATAAATCAAATTCTCACAAAACAACCCCAAAACTTAAATAAACACAAGATGTTACAGAGGCTACATCAGATCAATTCGCGAGTGGTCATTCGGCCAAAATCGAGTGGTCATCCGGCCAAGGACGACGTGCGGCGGTGGAGGGTGAAATTTGTGGTGGAGGCGGGTCTGTAGGAGGACGGACAACCGGAGGATATGGTGGTTGGGGCAGAGCTGTTGGTGTTACGGTGATGTGGTCCCGGCGGGTTCAGTGACGACGGAGGAATAATTTGTGACGGAGGAGGGGCTATGGGTGGAGGAGCTACCGGAGCAGATCACAGATGAGGCGGAGGGGTTGGTTGGGAT